CAGCGCCCCGGATCCGCGCTCCTCTCTTCTGAGTGGCTCGTTCGGGTCTCCGCTCACACGGATTCCCTCCTCCACTGCGGGCGGGTGAGGCGCCCTCGGGAGCGACCCAAGGATGCGTCCGCCATTCGCGGGAGCCAAACCGGAAGCCCAAACGTGGTAAACTTCTCTATCTGGTGGAATGGAAAGACTTCGGACCCCAGCACCCAGACAGTGGGTGTCTGCAGAGGATGGCCAGACAGATGCTTCTTTGAAGACTCTTCCAAAGGCAGGAAGGGAAAACCCTGACTTCTTGTTTAGCTCCAGCAAACGGTATTCAGAATAATGCTGCATATTTCACTGCATCTCATTGGGCTCAAGCTCACAAAAGCTCATGCTACAAGAAATATGTAGTTTTAATGTCCCACTGGGTTTTAGTTTTGTTTTAATGATCTCTGGACACGCCAGTTGGACTTATGGAACAAAAGAGAGATGAATCTCTCTTCACTGTGTCCCATGTGTCCAAAGGTAGTTTGACACTACAGGGGAAAATACTTTCTTTTGACTGTCTGAAAGGATTGCTAGTAACTTGAATTGGTGCATTCTTTGGCTTTGGTGTCATGGTCTTTTTTCAGACTGCGAATTTCAGACCCATGTTCTCGCCATTCAGGGACAGGAGAAATGGGCAGAAACATTAATTCAGGATTTCCAGCTCTTCTACATTCTTTTTTGTTTTCTTTCCAGCTGGCAGAAAAATATGGCAAAATCTTCAGCATCCAGTTTGGAGGCAAGTGGATCGTGGTTGTAAACGGATTGCCTCTGGTCAAGGAAGCTCTTGTTCATCAAGGAGAAAACTTTGAAGATCGCCCAAGATTTCCTCTCAGCTGTGAGGTTTTCGGGACATTTGGTGAGCTTCATTTAATGTGCTACCTACATTTCTCAAATCTGAGATAAATAATATGTGAAAACCCTTACACTGTTTCAGAACATGAGACGTTCGTGAGCACTGCTGAGGTCAGGGATGCACTGATAGTGTATTCACTGAGGGTCAAAGTACGTGAGCCTTTTTCGGCAAGTCAGGCCTGGAATCCCAGACCTCACTTGCTTCCCTGCAGACACACAACCGCCTTGGGTAGGGTTCCCAGGTCTTACCTGGCTGCCAGTGGGGGGCTCCAGCTCGGGTCCCTGGAGCTTCTGGCATGTGCATGAAGCACACGAGCTACGATGACGTCACCCAGAAGTGATGTCATTGCGTCAGGCACGTTGTGCAGGGGACGCTCTAGCATTTGGCCAAACACTCTATGGTCACCACAGAGGTTTTAGCCAAATGATAGAGCATCCCCTGGCCAGCTGGCTGGCAGCGGATTGGGGCCTCCGAAAGTGGAGAACCCCCGCCCCCGTCAGGGAAATGGCAACCCTAGCCTTGGGAAATGTGTTTTTAAAAATTCAAAGGAACCAAATTTGACTTGGAACGGCAGCAGAGAGGGAGGAGGGGCTCCCCTGCACTGTTTCCCCGAGCCAAAATGTCCCTGCCAGGGAGTTATTTGCATAACTGTAGAGCGACACGTGCTCAGAATCCTGGGCATCCCAGGCCGAATTTATGCAAATAATGGTCTCCTGAGTTCATTTCAGCTCAGGAAATTATTGCAGGTGGAAGGCAGGGACTCTTCTCCCCCCCGCCCCCCACCACACACACTGCAGTTCTGGGCTGGCTCCTGATGGTTTTGAAAACGACATTCCCCGTCCCTTGCTCAGCTATGCTCAGTGCTGGGGATGCAGAGCTCGCAGGTGTCTTACGCATGGGGGCTTGACCGTGAGAAATCCGCTCCAACCGAAGGAGGAGGAAGATCCCTGCCTGCTGCGGGTGTGGGGAAACGACTACAAATGGCTCAGGATTTTAAAATCACTTTCTGTCACATGTAAACCTCTGTCGTCTCACTGATGGCCAGAAGTATGTCTCTGTGATAAACCTGATGCAACACCAAAGCAATAAAACTCTTTGGAAGGCCATAGAAAGGGGATGTCAATCAAAACGTGAACCGAAGGGCAAGAAGCCAGTTAACCTGAATTCGTGGAATTTGTTCTGAATGGAATACTTGAATTAACCCCTCCCCAGGTGAATAAAGAAGAGCCTAACCTCTATGGTAAGTATTAAATGCAACTTGAAGGGGAATTTCACATTACCCAGTTTCACCTGGTTTCAAGCCGGTAATGATCCATTTTGAAGTGAACCGGTATAGGGCTGCCATTTCACACATGGCTTTCCCCTTCCAGTAAAGAGCTGGATCTGAAGCGGTTTGCCATTTCAGACTGCACCGCTTTTTCCCGCTTTCCCCCTGCCGTTTTTTGCCCGTGTGGGCAATCTCCGGCTTCTTTTCTTTTTAACATTCGCTTTAGAGCGCTATTGCAGTATAACAAAACACTCCATGCATTCCTATGGGATTGATATAATGCTATTCCGTTATAGCGCTATAATGCTATAAAGCAAATGTTTTTTTTGTTTTTTTAAAAAAAAGCCGGTGAAAAACAGCAGGAAAAAGCGCATCGGAACCGGGAGAGGAAACTGAGGAGTACTTGGAAGCGGTTGACAGGTAAAATGCTTCAGCCCCATTACCTAAACGGGACGGAAGCGATTGTGTATGAAATGACAAATATATTCCGGAAGGGAACCGGTTCTCAAACGGTTCTGTCTGAAATGACAGACCAGAAACCGTTTGGGAACCGTTCCTCTTCTGGAATATATCGCCTGTCTGAAATTCCTCAATATGTCCAACTGATTCTTAATGAGATAACTCTCGTTATGTTTATGCAGCAGTTGATGAAAATAACTTACTCACCAGGAATGGATGCCACAGAAATGGAGAGCGTGGCATTATACGTTTAAAATATGTACTCCTGTAGCGAAATTCAAGAGGACTGATACGTCAGCCCCATGGGAAATGTCTGGGTACAAGTAATTTTTCATTTAAGCCAAAATTACTACTAACGGGAGACTTCAACGATGCTGGTCTCTGTTGGGATGAAAAACTGCATTAAGCACAGACCCTCCCAGAATTCCTGACCAAACTCTCTGGCAGGTTCTTTCTTCAGCAGTTCGGGGAAGGAATAAGGGAACTGGCTATCCTCCTCCTGACAAATGAGGAGGAGGAGGAAGAGGAAGAAGATATTGGATATATACCTCACCCTTCACTCAGAGTCTCAGAGCAGCTTACAATCTCCTTTCCCTTCCCCACCCCACGAGAGACACAACAGACAGGTAGGTGGGGCTGAGAGAGCTCTTTTGAGAACTGCTCTTGAGAGAACAGCTCAGAGAGAACTTGCGACTGGCCCAAGGTCACACCAGCAGCTGTGATGTGGAGGAGGAGTGGGGAATCAAACCCACAAACAATAGCTGGCTAGGATCCTAGAAGGGACCAAAAGAGAAACAATGTAATGTAAATAGCCTATCATTTGGGAGTGGGGTGTGGTTTTCTGCATGCTTAAAAACCAGGCTTCCTTCTCCTTGCTGAAACCACTAATAAAGTATTGCTGATCACTGTACTTGGAGTCTGTTCATCCATGGAGCCCACCATTTAACAGCAG